AATGAGAATTTAGTCAATAAAATTATATTTTTGAAACGCCCCTATCCAATACATTATTTCCGTTGAAGAAAACGATAACCTACGATTCAAGAATATTTATCAAAATACAAAGGCCTCAGGTGTTTTCACGAAAACTAACGATTTCTTAAATGTGGATTTTAGTGGGTATTTTGATACATAAACAATAAACAGTAGTGAACTTCGAAAAAAAAATTATATTTTTGAAAAGCCCATTACGAATAAAAGTTTTCCACAGAAGAACATCAAAATCCATGATTCCAAATTTCTTTACCTGTTGAGATAACCGAGTTTTGGTGCAGGAAGAGTGGCGCATTCAATCGTCAATAATAAAAGAATTTACAGACTTAATCATTTGTTACTAGGCCTGTATTTATCATTATATGAGGTGCAATAAGGCGTCATGTATTAGAAAATGATGAAGTTAAAATATAATTGTGCAGTTGAAAACAGTTTTTAGGAAAAGCTCTGATATATAAACTACAAATTGTTTCCACCTTTCCAACATTATACTGAGTGCTGGTCAAGTGTTTCAAGTTAACTAGTTTTGGAACAATTTAGTACTAACAATTAGAAAACAGGATAAGGAATGTCCATGATTTCCATTATATGAAGGACAGGTAGGATTTAAGGATCCTTCTATTTCTAGATGGAAAAAAAGATAAGTATAATGTTGTTACTCAGTTTGTGAAGCTCAAACATAAGCAGTGATTGTAATGGTGATAATTAGAATGGTATATCCCTTGTTAATACCAAATACAACACATGAAATTTGAATGTAGAGTTCTTGAAAAATGTTAAACCTAATCTGATGATGTAGTTGAACATCAATAAGTTCCAAGTGTAGATCAGAATGTCATGGGGCATTGCTGCAGGTTATATCAACAGCTATTTTTTTAAGAATTATACTAACGTATAGTATTGTGTATCCAGTTGAGTTCAGTTCCGTATTAGGTGATAATCCCAAGGGTTCAATTGACAGGTACTGACACCTCGTTGAGACTGGCTGCTTTGCAGGACATAGAAGAGAGTTCCTTTACTGATGTTACCAATGGTGAGAATTGTGTAAATGTTTAATCCTCTCCTTCTGGTTCATGAATTTTAAACTAGATATTATTCTGTTAATTAATTTATTATAATTTACAGCTTCTACAATAATGAAAATGATTTTTTTAGAAGAGGTACAATGTTTGGATCATTGGTGTGATCATTCTCAAGTACAGAAGTTTTGATGGTAAAACACGTGAAGTTGAAAGCCAGGTTATTTTTATAATCAACAAGTTGAAGAAGAATAACTAATTTTTGTTTGCATTCTTATTTCTAAATTATGGTTGGTTAGATTATTTTTATATACAATCCTAGAATGTAAAAGAGCTACAATACAGAATGTAGGGAAGAGCAAACATTAACACCTCTGAGGGAATAACAAGTTATCAGATAAAAGCTCCTTTGTATTACATATTTTCCCATTCTTCGCCTCAGTCATATTCTGTGAATTTTGACATTCGGTACATTAAATATGTTTATGTTGATGATGATGAGTTATTCACCATTAAACAATCAATGTTATTAACATTTAAAATTTCAACAATTAACATCACTTGATACAGAGTGGACTGAGTCATTGAGAGATTTCTTGATGTGCCAGTGGTTGTTGCCAATTTATAACTTGCCATAAGACCATGACCAGTATGTAACACATTCTTTTTAATTTCAACATAATATTGTGATGATTTCTACCATAAGGCAAGTTGTTTCTTATTATTTGGTAAAAATAATGCAAAGTCCAATTCACATAAATGATCTACAAGCTACGTGCATTAATAAGCCTAACTCGCAAATAAAACCTAAACAGTCACTTTATTACAATATTTCCTCATGTATCTATGACACAACTCAAAACTGATTGAATAAAATGCTTGGTAATCTATCAATAGCATGGTAATAGATTCAGTAACTAATCAACTGACTGAATTGCTGATTGAATTAACTTTCAATGACTAGCGAACTCGCTCACTCTGATTTTTATATACAATATTTGTTCCCCCTCCCAAAGATTTGAAGTACCACATTAACCTAGATATTAAAGAGCTTTTAGACATATTTTTAGAAATGTTCTATAGCAAGCAAACCATCTAACTTAAAATGCTAAAATCATAGCCTACAATGATATATATTAACCTCTTAAAACAGAGCCAACCCTTTCATATTTCCCATTAGTGAGGGGCCTTTCTGCTTGTTCTCCCAAGTTGAAGTTTTATGGGGCCAATCTTTTTGTTTGTCTGTTATTAAGTGCAAAGCTATGCAATAAATTATCTGTGTTGTGCCTATCACAGGTATCAAAACCTAGTTTCTAGCATTATAAGCCTTCAGAGTCACTGGGAGGTTAGGAGCCAGCCTGCCTGGCATCTGATATAAATAAAATATTGTGTGTGTTAATTTGATAAATAATAGTTCAATGGAAAATATTGCATAAAGTTTAAAATCTGTTCACATTAGTTCTCTAAAATAAATCTTACAAGTTATTTTAACTTCTTGAGGTCTAGTTTATTACATTTTTAGTGTTGCAAATCAATGTTTTATTCCATGAACTATATGTGTAGATTATTACAGAGAATGCAGAATAGTTTATCAAGCTTTATTTTCTTAAACAGACAACCAGTGCTATATTTTAGTCAGTAATACAACTCAAATTAAAATGTATTAATGATTTTTTTTTTCAGTGCAATCATAAGATTCAAGTCCATATGGAAACAAGACAGTTGATACACAAGAAAAGCATCCTTTCTGACAATTTAAGAGAAGCCTAAAAAACCTGTGTTTTAGTGGGACTCAAACTAGTATTTATCATCCTGAATAAGTGTTTGTATGATAATTATGTACAGTTCTTATTTGTTTTTTAGAACAACTATTATTTTATAATGACATCACTGGCATTTCATCTTTCTGTAGCTACAGTTTTACGTGTAATTTTAATTGGTTATGGTGAATGGCAAGATAGAAATTTTCTGGTAAAATATACAGATATTGATTATTACGTGCTTACAGATGCTGCACGTTATATTGCTGATGGTAAATCCCCGTTCCTTAGACACACCTATCGTTACACACCATTATTGGCCTTCCTCCTTTTGCCTAATATTTTTGTCAGTTTTATATGGGGGAAGCTTTTGTTTTCTTTGTTGGACATTTTCATTGGCTATGTTATGTACCAACTGCTTAAAAAGTGTAATATTTCAAACAGTAAGATGCTTTTTAGTGTGTGTGTTTGGCTTTATAATCCTCTGAACATAGCTGTATCAACCCGAGGAAATGCAGAGTCGTTGCTATCTGCTGTAATTATACTAAGTCTATTCTACTTTTATAAAAATCAGTGGTTGTTGGCAGGAATATTGTATGGACTTTCAGTTCATCTTAAACCATATCCCATTATATTTGCACCAGTTCTATACTTTTCATTAACACATAGGATTGTGTCATTAAACCAAGGAATTGTGCACTGCATCCACAAGCTCCTTGTGCCAAACAGAGATAGACTAATGTTTCTTTTGGCAACAGGAGTTGGTTTTTTCCTGCCTACGTGTATATGCTACAAGCTATATGGTATGAACTACATACAAGAGTCCTTTCTGTACCACATAACTAGAAAAGACACACGACACAACTTTTCCCCCTTTTTTTACTTGCTATACTTGTATCAAGGAGAAGACCACTATTGGTTATCTTTTGTTACTTTTATTCCACAAGTTATCTTATTACTTGCACTAGCAGTCATCTTTCACTCTCCCAAGGACTTGCCATTTTGCTTATTTGCTCAGACTTTAGTTTTTGTATCATTTAACAAAGTCTGCACCTCACAGTACTTTTTGTGGTATCTGACTTTTCTACCACTAGTAATTCCAAAATTGACTCTTTCTTTAAAAGGTGGAGTTAGCTACTTAACTGCTTGGCTACTAGGTCAGGGAATGTGGTTGTGTTTAGCATATTATTTGGAATTTGAAGGAAAAAATACCTTTTTATATATTTGGTTGGCAGGACTAGTTTTTTTCTTAATAAATGTGTATATACTTGGTGTTCTAATTTATAACTATGGAAAACAATCATAATAGTTACTTTATTCTGTTTGATTTTATAAATCACTATAAAAAAAATTCTGTATGTAATTACTCCTAAAAGTTTCATCATTATAATAGTTTGTATTTTTAACTTACATTGTTTTTTGTGATACTCTTTTGCTATTTTTCTTTGTTGTAGAATATACAAAATTATTAGGTTTTGGCCATTATGTTGTCTCGTAATTTGGATAGTAAGAGGCTTCCTAATTTTCACCATGTCGGTGAGAAGTCAGAATAGTTATAATTTATCTTAAAGTCACAGTGAAAACATTGATATCATTTATTTAGTATTTGGTGTAAAGTGTAAAACTTATAAGTTTGAATATATTAACTCATTATTTGTACATGTTTTAATAAAGTAGAAATGGATTGACATTATAATTTTGTAAAATCACATTTGGTGAATTGATGAAAGTAACTGAGACAAAGCTGTTAAGCCATAAAATGAAAATTATAGTTTGAAAGGGTAGTTTGTAATTCAATGTTTATGTTACATATTGTTATTGCTATAAAATTTTCTACTTTCTGAAAATAAAACAAGTGCATGAAAGTGATGGTTAGGATAATTCTAGAATGCCATGTCTAGTTTAGTTGAAGAATTTATATAATCAAAATGTATTGTGTGATCATGTGTTTGAAATTGTTTATGAAAAGACTATATTATGTATATAATGTCTTCATGTCCTTCCTCTCCTATGTAGTAGTATCTGATTTATATTATTATAAAAACAGACATTTTAGTGTTCATAAATGAATCTTGTGTAATAAAGCCTACAATCAACCAAAGTTGAGTTGTGTATAAGCAAATGTTTTGTATAAATAATATGATAACATGAAAATGCAGTATTAAAAGCAATTAAAAAATACTTTGTGTTTTCTGTGTAGAGTCATGTGAGACTCATAAAAACTAAACACTCCAGTCACAGATAGAATGAGTGAGATATTGATGGCTGGTTGTTGATGGAGGCCACCTCCATGTTTTTAAGACATTCAGAATACTCATTTTTATAGAAGGTAAGTACACAATACCATATAGCATAATCTATGTTAAATTCCACAATTATGGAGCAATGGTTTATATGGGAACAAATTTTGGCACATTTATGTGTCTTCTTCAGTCTAGTTTTTGCTTGTTATCTCATTCGAGACAGGTCATGTGTGAAAGGCCATGTCATCTCGTTTGTTTACTCACATTCAAAATTTTATAGAACTACTATTTCATGAATGTATGTCAATAAGTTTGTATCAAACTGTAGATTATAATTCAGATTTTAATATTATATATTGCTCAATTTCTTAAGTTAAAAGCAAATTAAAAAAAAACACGGATAAACATCGATTTTTGTGTCATGTCGTATGTTGAATGCACCACTGGTTCAAATTAGATGTTTGTGAAGTCAAAATACTAAGTCTATAGTTTCGTACAAATAAAAACTTAACTGAGTATAAATAATAGAGTATAAAATATGAATGTCTTATATTTTCTACTTGCTAAGATGTTGCTCATGTAATAAATCAAACACAGTGGCACCCTGCTCACCTCTTTCCATTTTTGTAAACACTACCTTATATACACTTCCTTCTGTATGTGATATTAATAACCAATTGGAAGCTCAGAATGTCCACCTAGTGGCTTTCTCAGCCATTGTAACAAGCTTGAATCACATTTCTTTCTTTTGAACCAATATTTCAAGGAGGTAGGATGTGTCTTTAGTCTGCTCAAAATTTCCTATTTTTTAGACTAAAATTCATCTTAATTACTAAGCTTGATAAATTATAGTGGAATTCTATGGTATCAATGTAGTAATTTATGATTTTTTAGTTATTCAAATGTATATATAAAACCCCAAAAAATTTTGTTTCATATTCTCCACATGCAAAATTTTTAAAGGCTTAGCAACCAACATCATGCAACAATCGAGTACATAGATTGTAACTAAATAAGATAATTGTTTGCTTTACTTTTTTATGTACTGTTCTGTGTTTTAAGAAAAATAAGTTTAAGAACCTATTTTAAAATAGCAATAATCTATATACATATATAATGTATAATAATTTAACTGTATTTTATGAAATACTAGTCTACTAAAACACAGCCAAGACAAGTTACTTTGTACAGACCAAAGGTTTGTTTTATGTTATTGGATACAATAACATGAGTGCTCATGTGCTGCATCATTGTAACTTCTGTATTATTAGCCAGGCATGGGTGAAAGGTCAATATAATAAAAATAATAAATGTATAATGTTATGAGAGGTAAGCTATTTATTTTAAACATTTATCTTTTCGTGTTATAATTTGTATTCATTCTAGAATGAAAGAGGCATAATTTATATTTATTTCCTAATTTTTTATGGTTGTTATGAGATTGGTCAAATCTACTGAACCCGTACAGAGATTCATTACTGAAAATAACAGATAAAGTATAAAGTTTTTTCTTAAGAAATGTTTGATAACTATCTTGACATTATAAAGATTTTGCATGTGAAATTTGAAAATTTTTTGATGCATAAAAGTATTTTTAATCTTAAAATAAAAATTACTTTGCATGTTAGATAGGCAACATGCAAAAAGAAAAAAAAGGCATGAGAAAAACATTGCTTTACAAACCTTAAGACTTAATAAAAACTGATATTTTGTATATGAAAGCAATGTAATGTTTACTGATAATCTGCCAAAGTTCATTAACATTCGCTTACTAATTTAAAAGTTATAGCATATAAACTATAACAAGCACAAAATGGTCATGAAGTCAGTCCCAGGGATCGAACCCGTGCTGAAAGAGTTCAAGAATTACACATGCAACTTGTTTTCTAGCAGAAGTTCCAAATTGCTTAAGAATGTCAGAAAAGAGTTCATTACAGCTATAGTATTTTCAACTAGTATTTCCAACTTCAATGACTGTAAGCAACCTAATGTTAAAAATAAAATATAATATAAAAAATGCACTTATGACATCTGGACCTTGCAAATTGGATAGAAGTAAATTTTACAGCTTATAATAAAAAACCACTGCATAATTGTTCACTTTGTATCTATAATTAACTTTTTCTGATTACAAGTTTCACACCAAATTGTAAAACAAGTACAAAATAAACCATGTGTACTTTAATGATATAAAAGCTGTTCAAATATATTCAATCAAGGAGAAAAAAACCTTTAAAAACACTTTACACCATCACTCAGACATTGTAATAGTTGAAATATAACATTTCTTACTCATTAACTCAACTACTAACTCCATCCCATTTGCTTGAAAGAGTTTTAACACATCCTTTTAAAATAAACTGTAATTATACTAGTCTATTATGTAACTGTTGTGCCAAGCTAAACTTCCTCATTATTTGGTTTGTAAGTTCTATAATATTTGTGCAAAGCTGTACATAGCCATTCTTAACTTTGAACAGACAGAACTCTTGGTCTCCTCTCGTCTCATAGAATAGTTGGATTTGACTGACACTTTCAGAGCACACTTGCAGTTACAAATTGTAGCATGTTTTTACAGCAACAGGACAAAAACCACGAATCTTTAGATTCGTAGTCCAGGTACACCATTATATCACACCTCATTAATGGACAATATTATAATACATAATTAGAAAGAGAATGACTAAAGGTGAAATTTACACACCTATTTACACTCTTTTACAAATGGAGACTTACAGTTAAACCATAAACAAGAAATTCCTCACCTGACCTAGGTAGACCAAATGAACTAAATACCACATAAAGGAAATAATACTCTACGAAAATGTGAATTACACATATTGGTCTCTGGCCTTTACTTACTATTTATTCTGATGATATTTATATTTATTATTCTGTGGTTATTCCCATATTATTTTAATACATATTTCAAACTGCAATTTTAATTAAAAGTTTTTTTACTTTCAATAAAATCTTTTGTTTAAACATTACTGATGAAATTGATGTTACAAATTCAAGACAAGTTTAAATGAGACAACATATACAGTTGACCAACAGAATGTTGAAAAAGTGAAAAAAAATTAGCTTAACTCTTAAATAAATTTGAGTCCACAATTTCCTTAGCCATTCATGTGTTACACACACACCGTCTTCATTGCTACATGGATAACTCGTGTAACTTAGCTCACTGGAAGAACGAGCATGTGAAATTTTCTAATTTCTTTTAATAACTTAACCGTAATTTGTTACTAACAATTATTAATTTTGAAACCTGAATATTGTATATTATATACACACCAAAATTAAAAGTATTACACTGTTTCAACAGTTTTCTAATACTACTGAATAAATAAGTGAAAAACATTATGCTGTATTCGTGTTGTATATGAATATACCATGCATTTCAATCTCTTTTGAAATGTAATAGTATGTATTCTTTGTTCTCTACATGTGAAGGTTTCACATCACACGTGATCAAGAAACCCATTAAGTTGATTTCATTCTAGTTGCTTTTGTTTCTTTATTGTTCTTGATTGGATAATACCTGCTCTACCCTTGGTATATTGCTGCAATACTGTGCACTGTGCAAGGTCTTTGACAGTTGTGTCCTCTAGTGGTTGTTTAGGTGATATTTAGAGAGTTATAGCTTCAATTATGTTATAATGAGAATGACCAATCATGAGTAGCAGTAATCACTCTAGTTAAGTGCAACATTTCTTGTGATCCAAGGAACATTGGATTAAGTCAGTCTGGAAGAGGATCTTGAAGGAAAATCAGCTGAGAGAACCCAGTAAAAGCAACATTCCCATGTAAGGAAAAGCAAGTACATACATGCTGTGTTTAATGTTACAATAAAGATTGTTAATTTTGCATTTCACTTCATGCCCAGTCTCATTATTCCATTTAAAATCACATCTCAGTTAGCAAGAGATTTAGCATTACTTCACAACTGTTATATTGACCAAACCCCCAGTTATTAAGTGGCTCCTATCTGACAGCTTAAAGATTAACTCAGTTTACATGAATATACCACATTGGTATGTTTTGTGTTCTTAGGGAAAAAAAAGGAGTCATGATATGATGTTGATTTTAAAATAGGTATTAATGTGAGTATTTGCTAAGCATTGACCTTAGAATAGTCAAGAGTTTTTAAGTTCAGAAACATTTCTACTTATACATATTCTCTTAAGAAAAAATAGTAATGCAAGTTTGAGTCTGCCTCATTTTATGCTAATAGAATACTATTACATGACCTGTTTAAAGCATTAAACTCATGTTTTAATATTTTCTGTAACCAACTGTTGTAAAGTTCTGTAATATTTCCAAATAAATATTACTTGAACACTTGCAGATGACTCACCTGGCTATCCTGTCACGGACATTTTGGAAGTCATGAGTTAAATGTGGACGAAGATATACCAAAACCCTATGCAGTACTTCAAATACCCTCCACTCTTGTTGGCTAATGTAGCCGAGTAAGAGATACAATTGGCTGTTGTAATAACAAAAATGTTAGTGTTTGAAACAACATCAAGCATACACACACACAATATTGTTTTAATTACTGCATTCAATGCTTTTTCTTCAAATTAATCAAAGCTATTATTCACAGAATACATTCCAGACCTTAGTAAACAGAACTACAACTTTTTATACTACAGTTAGGAAAATGTTTTCAACCTAATACCGTACAACTTATTGCTCTTAAACCAAATATCCACAGACAGAAGTCCTAAGTACACTTTTAAACTTTCATAGTGAAAAGAGCTCATCAATTAACTCGATTACCCATAAGCATCAATTAGTATCACATAGTTGATTAATCAAAATTACAATTGAATCAATTAATGTCACAAAAATAATCATCTAAAATTAGTGTTTTCGATAAGTACTGTTTTAGATTTCTATGATGTTTTGAGTCCGTTTTACTTCACCATAAAGTAACCTAAGTTAATTCAGGTATGTGAATAATGTTATGACATTGCATCATATTCATTATTCGATATTACACAGTGGACCAACTGTTTAATGATTGTATATGTATGTTAAGGATTTCATTATCATACATACACTGTTTTTGATTATTCCAACACTCCACATAACTGAAACATTGCCATTATAGTTTCTCATTATCATTTTACATTAATTCTGGATTATTTACCTTGGCCAATTAGTATCATAACTCACAAAAGTAACCAACTAATTGAACTATCCAAGTTTCTTGTGAGAATAACTGATTAGTTGACTGTAATTGACTAATGAGCCTGACAATTAATCAGTTATGAATTTCTACTACTAGCTTAGTTGTAATAGTTTATATAGTGCTGTTCCAAATGTTTTACCAGTTGAAAGGCAAAACAGAAGACACCACCATAAGAACCAGCAGAGGAAAGTTTGTGTAATAAATTCTGACAAATTACTTTTCATCAAAACATGTCTCCAGAAATCTTTCTAATAAGGCTATCGAGGGGAAGCAACTTTTACATAAAGTTACCATGATTAGTCATTATTACTAATACACCTTGCTTTTTTTTCTGCTTATCAAATCAAGTAATTATAGTTAAGACTATTGAGCTCAGATTTGTAAAAAAAAAATCTTCCAGCACTGTAATCGTAGAAGTAATTAAAGATTACTAGTAAATGATGTTTGTGGAACATTGATCTACAAAACTGGACCGTTATCAAAAATCAGCTAATAATTCTTTTTATTCAAAACACAAACCTCGCTTCTAGAAAAGATGCACCCTCTCCTTTCAGTGGATCTTCCATGAGTAACTCAATCAACCAATGATACTTGTTTGGATCACGACTGTCCTGAAGACAAAGAAGAAAGCAAATTTTTCATGTGGAGGAAAAAAATGTTTTTTACAACAAATATTAAAATGAGTAGAAAGAGACAATTACCAATGCTAAGAAATGTAGGTAAGTCATGTTACTTTATGATAAATTTAGAAAATTGAAACTGTCTAATTAAATTACTGCTAACTTGAACAGCAGAAAACTTAGGCTTTCATAAGCTTTTAATCACAAGAACTTAAAAATAGAAATAGTGTGAAATCTAAGCCTGTTTTAAGTTAGGAACATTGGAAATTTTGCTTTGACAAGCTAACACAACAATACCAAACTTCGTGTCCTAGAATTTTTTTATATTAACGTTTTTCTCATTTACAATGCTATCCTACATGAAAATGGAACTACTTTCAGGTTGCAGTTACCATCAGTATTTTAAAATTTAACAAAAGTGAGTCATCAAGAGCAATGGCAAAAAATTTAAACAAAAAACATAATAGCATGAACATTGTAAGAAAATCTGAAAATCCATCAAGTGTGAACTGTTTTAACATACACAATAACTTATGAGCCTAAAAATTGTTGGGAAATTAAAACAAAAATCTAGTTTAATTGTATATGTAGAATTAGCAGATCAATTATAAATCAAATTAATCGTATAATCACCAGAACAAACAGTTGATCTTGTGTGTATTATTAGTGATCAATTATGTTAAACTAGTCAGGAAAACAGCTAACAAAGTGTAGTGCTGATAGATCATCCGTACCAAAACAGTCACAAAAAGAACTAGAACAAATAGCTGGCCTAGTATGTAGTGTTAGTAGACCAGCTATATCAAATTAGTCATCACAACAAATAGCTGAATTAGTCCTAAGTCCTAGTAGATCAAGCTAGTCAAAAGAATACCACAACAAACAGCTAGCCTAGTGTGTAGTGCTAGTAGATTAATAGCTATAGTATCAAGCTAATCAGAAGAATATTATAACAAATAGCTAGTCTATTTTGTAGATCTAGTAGATTAATAGTATCAAATTAGTCAGAAGAATATTACAACAAAGAGCTAGCATAGTTTTTAGTGCTAGTAGATTAATGGTATCAAGCTAGTTACAAGAATATCATAACAAATAGCTAGCCTAGTTTGTAATGCTAGTACAAAACTAATCAGAAAAACATTAGAATAAACCATTGACCTAGTTTAGTATCAGTAGATCAATTAACTCATCTACCTTGGAGAATATCAGATCAAGTATCAACACATCTAAATTACAGATTTAATGGCTTAATTATAATGAATTTATAATACAAAAACACTTTGTAGTGTAACAGAAAACATACTTCAGTGAGCCTGAACATTAAAAATTAACATCTGATATTTCAATACTACATTAGTAGTATCTTTCCCTTAGTCTTAATTGACGTAATAAATCAGCACACCTTACTGAGCCAAAAACAAAGTTTATATAGTTAAAAGAAAAATTTATCCTAATTACTTCTTTTTAGATTTTAGTATTCACGTGTGACAGCTATTAAGATGAACAATTTACTTCATTTGAAATATGCACAAAAATAAATTAATAAATTTAATTGAATTCTGACCTTGATCTTTAAGTTCTCTATTTTTATTACAATTTTTACAGATTAAATTGTACTTACTAGTACAACAAATGAATAGACACGTGATCAAAAAAAGTAGTAACCATTCACAAGTTCAACAGAACAAATTTCAGGAGGTGTTATGAATCCATATGAGGTATTCTGGGTATTAAGTGTAAATACACTTTAATACAGAATATTTCACTAACGGGATTTATGGCAGCTTTGAAACGTATTAAGTTTCTGTTGTCTTTTTTTGGACTAAAATGTTTGTTATGTAACTTTACCAATATAATAGAATGAAAGACTTACTGAAGCAGTAGCAAGAGATACTCCCCAGTCATAGACTGTATCTGGTGTGATGTTGCTCAACATAGTTCTTAATATTGGTTGAAGCTCTTTCTTCAGAGACTGCATCTAGAAACACATACACTGAATGATATAATGTTTACTTGTTATTAGAAATTGTGGGTACCTGGTTGCTATGTAAGTGTAGCTCATAAAATCACTTCATCTTTAGACATTTGTTCAATGCAGAATTTGTGTTATTACAAAAGTGTCAAACTATTTATTTCACAGCTTAGTTCCTCTCTCATTTAATTTTAATTTTTTTCATCTTATCTTACTTTTCAAACAAATCCTGTTGCTTTTCCAATTTGAAGTGTAACAAAATACTACAGGATAATTCTCAAGAAATTGGGATATTTTTTTTTTTTAAAGAGGTCTCAATATATTTGATTCCCTAGTATGGAAAAAGTATCAGGCTTTTTTTTTTAAATAAAACAAAACTGGAAACACAATAGTTTGTTAATAAACAAGTGTAAATGAGAAACACAAGTGCAAAACAATCTGAAGTTGAAAAACACTTGGAAACCAACACCAAATAAAAAAGCATAGCCATATATGGGCTCAGTCATTTTGATCAACAGGTGTGCATGTTATGATTTTTTACATAGTTACATTCAGAATTTAGTTAAACAATTCTATTATCAATATATATTACTAAGATTGATATCAAAATGTAGTTTATTATCCATATTTTAATACAAGTTTTAATTTCTTAATTTCAAAAGGAAATATATAAATAAACTTTCAATCTTCATTTATCTGTATCACATGACACTTCTTTGCTCGAATTGCCCATTTCAGATATTCTTTTTACTCCCGTATAATCTTCTAAGTTTCTGACAAATTTCACAAATATGCTAAAGATATCCCTGAGCTAAAACATCAAATTGTTATCTCCAATCTTCTGGTGCTACTGAGACATATGCAGTAAAGTGACACCTACAGACCACACCCCTCCTTCTAAATCCTGTCTTTCAAAAAAATGTCAGTAATTCTCTATGAAATTTGCTAATGGTTTATTTCTAGCCAATAGAAGGAGAATATTTCATTTACTAAAAGCAATGGAACCTGAAGTTGTTCAGATAACCTGTTTTGAACAATTCAGAATTGTTTTCTAATGTTGAACTTTGCTTCACCAGGTATGGGAATTATTTAATTCTCTCAACACAAATCTATTGTTCTTATGTATGTTTTTTTTATAAAAGTCACTTAAATGTGAAAATTATAAACTCATTATTTAGATAAAAAAAACTTAAATGAAATTAAATAAATAAAATGATATGGTAGCATGCATGCACACTGCAAGCATGATCATGTAATTTGACAAGTGTGCTGGTAACTGGAGTCTTTGTTTAGACAAAACTGTCCCTTGTACTAAATAGCTATTTTCATACTTTGAGAGAGTTTCAGTACAACTGTGAAGAAAAAACTAAAAGAAATATATATTAGATTTGACTATGAAAATAGTGTGTAATTGTCTGTTACAAAAATGCAGTCATTCTAGAACGAAGAAAGGGTAATTTAGATTCTTTTTGTTATGTGTTGGTTACAAGGCTGTTCCATTGTACTGAGTCCATATGCAGTGTAAGGCTAGAGAGAATAACAGATAAAATTTAAAATTTTACTGAAAATCTTTTGATATTCATTTAAGAGATTCTTGCAGTTATGCAATTAAAACATGAAACTGTAACACGAAAAAAAATATTTTTGTATTTAACATGAAAATCACCTTGCATTTGGACTGAATCAGTAAAGGCTTTATAAGTTTCTAGATCAATCCTTAATAAAAGGATTAATTAAAAAAATCTAATTTTTGTGTACAACAGACTTGTAAAGTTTACCTAAAACTAAGTATATTTCATGAAAAATACTCTTAGTAAATTCAGAGATATAGTATGTACATTTTCAAGGTTATATTGTGGATATTAAGTTGGTCAAAATAAACAAGCCTGTGTAAATGGAATTAAATGAATAATGGTTCACTTCATTTATGTATTTTTCTTCACATAAATAACCCCCACATGGCTATAGATATGTTAATTTTATACATGAAGTACCTTTTGAAAGTTCCAATGTTTACTTCCCCGCAATAATCCAGCAATAACCTCAGATGCACACCGCTGAGAACTTTCTTGTGGATCTGCAACTTTCTTCTGCAAATGGCTTATAAAATTAGGCAAGAAGGTGTCTCCAAAGTTTCTAAACAAACCCTGAAATTAAGATGTCAATGTATCTTGTGAAACTCAATGAAAAGTACCTAATAAAATACTTGAAAATTTCAGTCATAGTGCAAAAACCATGAAAACTTAGTAATTCAGTAATTTCTGTTTTAATATTTTATTTTATTCACTAATTAAAGGCTTTTGAATAAACATAACATGTTATTGAAAAAAAAAGGAATTAAAACTACTTAT